TTAAACTGGCAAAGCTTACATGAGTTTAGTTTAAACACAGATATCAACGTGTGCTCTTCAGGTCTCACCTGTTCGCGCGTGCTATCAGCACCCGGGTGATGACAGAATAAATGACTGCTCATATTCCAGCAAACAGCATTCGCGTTGAACTAGGGCTGCACAATTAATCGAATTTCTAATCGCAATTACAATTATGGATGCCACAATTACGTAATCGTTCAAAGCGGCAATTAATCATTCAAAGTCCACTTATGTTATTCTGTGTGCTTAAGATGTGTTTTTTTTCTTTCTATAGGTAATCTTAAGGGTTTTTCCACTGTTTTAATTCTAGTTTTAATATAACATAACATTTGAGACTTAATGCTATAGAAAAGCAATAAGTTTTTCAGCTTGTTTATTTTCATTGGTTGCTTCAAACAATGGTATAAACATCATTCAATGTAAATTGTGATAATCGTAATTAATAATCGCAATTACAATTTCAAGGGAATAATCGACAATTATGATTTTTGTCATAATCGTGCAGCCCTAAGTTCAGCTTTTAAAAACGCGTCTCTTGAACTTGTGCTTTTGAATTTTTTTCATTCCACTGCCTGTGTCTCATGTTTTTAAACACAAAGAAATCTTCTAAGCTTGCTAACCAAAGTCTAACTGAAAACACACACACAAAAAATTGGCTTTGGTAATATGTTTATGTAATTTAAAATACATTAACACATTTTATTAGGTCAGAGGGAAATTTGGATTGGAGCCCCACCCACAAAGAAATCTAATTGGTCTAAAATTGGTCTTAAGTTGTATATTAAACATCAAACATGTTCTGATTGGCTGCTTTGCACAGGATTTTATTTTTCAGTGAGAATAGTCAAATTACCCTGGAAACTTGACATGTCACAGCTGGTTATGTCATGATGTGAACTTATAGGAAACTGAAATGAATGTAGTTGATGAGTCAGTGGCAAAAAGATAGTGATTTTTGTCTGTGTCTGTCATATCAATGTTGAAGGAAGCTGGGTTCACAGTCATAACCATTGGAAAGCATTTTGTTCATTTATACACATATAATGTCTGTAATACTGCTGTGATTTTTATTGTGCTGTGTAAAAATCCTTTAGTTGCATTCAAATATTGTCACATTCTGCTTCTTATAGTGTGTTGTTGCTGTCAATATTAAAATCAATTGTTCTGGAAAATGACTCAATTTTGCCGTCCCTTAGTGTTCTTGCTTTATTAGTCACTGGCTAATTCATAATTTCTGTCTCGAGAGTGGGCGGCACTAAGGCCAAAGTCCAACCAAATCTACCTCACCACATTCACATTAGCTACATTTACTTGCATCCAAATAATCAGTTAGTAATCTGATTGTAAGGCCTTCATGTTAACACCACAATCAATATGAGTTCAATCCAGAAATACATTTCCATCAGTCTGAAAGGAATTCAAACCTTCCAAATCCTTGATTTCATGCCATATGTGTTTTTATATTTAAGAGCTACATGGGAATCAGAAAAAAAGAAGTTCAGTCACTTCCTCATTCACTACAGCTATTGTTGTGCTTTGTTGCACTTCTCTGATACTATAGAGTTCAGAGCACTAGCTACACACATTCAACATGCCACAATCTCTGACAAAATCGACTCCCAGTCTTTCGTCAAACTTTTAAGTATACTTAAATTGTTGCTTTGTTATTTTATTCAAGCTTTCATTATTACCTAATAGCCTAACCTCAGTGATTTTAAACAATAGATATTTGTGTGTGTGTGTGTGTGTGTGTGTGTGTGTGTGTTGTGGCTCCCATGAGAAGTGATTTCACACCTTGGTTCACATGACTCAAGGTGACCTTTAACAACTATTAATGTGAACAACAAAGTTGGCGCTATCTCTCTGTCTGTGTGTGTTGCAATGTTGTAAAGCCTCATAGAAAGTCCAGTATTGGGCAATGGGATTGTATAAAACGCATGGCGCCAAAAGGAAGGCTTTTAGACAACACACATTTGCACTCCTGAAATAACTAATTGCTTTAAGCATTAACCGCTAGAGCGCCAAAAGTTACATAGTGCTGCTTTAAATGTTTTGTAATGTCAATTTACGATTCTGAATTTATTTTTGACAGGAACGTCACGTACTGTGTTCAGAATGTAATTCTGTCGTAGCTTCTGAACAAGCAATAAGAGTGCTTAAAAACATTAAGTTAATGAGTAAATACATTTTAGACCCAATATTGGCACATACCTGTCTATTTTGTTATTTTATCGACAACAGTTCCAGAAATATGTAAATAATATGTATACGTAGCTTGGATAAAGTGTCATTGAAAGATGCTCACCAATAATTAACAGACTTTCATGAACGTGCAAACACAGACAAGCGGAATGATACA